ATGGAGCGGAGTGGCTGGGCCGCGCGGACTTTCCTGCTGGCGCTGTGGCTCGGGGCGACCCTGAGGGCGCGCGCGGCGGTGGGCTACTACCCGCGCTTCTCGCCCTTCTTCTTCCTGTGCACCCACCACGGCGAGCTGGAGGGGGACGGGGAGCAGGGCCAAGTGCTCATTTCCCTGCACATCGCCGGCCACCCCACCTACTACGTGCCGGGACAAGAATACCACGGTAGGTGCCCGGGCAGCTGCCGCTGCCTGGCCGGCCCCTGCGCGCGCGCGCAGCTTTGAACCCCCTTTCCTCCTTCCCAGGGACCATTTCAACCATGACACCCCTCATCCCAACGTTACGTCTGTCGAGGGAGAGGGCACAAAGTTAGTGGAGGACCAAGTCGCGAGTCGGGCTGGAGCCCCGCCACCCCCACGCCCCACGTAGCACATCTGTTAATGAGCTGATTCCCAGGCGAAAACGCCGGCCGGTTCCTGGGGACGCGTGGCTTTCTTCCGCGCGCTTCGTCCTCCCCTTCTGGCGGGTTGAACGCGCCGGTGCGCCTTGTTTCCTTAACCCCGAGGCTTGTATGTCAGACCTTTGTCCGGCTCCGGTCCCTGGGTGGTTCAGGGACCGGCGCTGGGCTTTGCGGACGGACTGGTGACAGATTGACGCGCCCGGACCCCGGCTCCCGCGCCACCCGCCGCAAAGTTCCCGCTGCTCAGCAGCCGGGGGTCCCTCTCCTTGCATCTCTTGTCCAACAGTCGTGGCGGTGGACCATGCTGTTTAAAATGTCAGCGGTGGATGCCGTTTTCCTGCCTCCTCTCATACTTTTAAAACGTTGCCCATGTTTAGAATGATCACTAGGATGTTTGTTAATAATGACTCTTATCTGCACAGCTCTATTTCCAGGTGGGGGGTGGAAGCCACGTTTACGATTAAGAGCCATCATGCAGCCTTTCATCAAAATTACATATTATTCGAGAAGTAAAATTCAGCTCCAAGAAGCACAGTTTAATGTGGTGCATACATTTTTAATGTTTTCAGCTAATAAACGGAATATGTGGGGGAAATTGCACATCTCTGTGTGTGTCTTTTGTATTTGTGCTGAGATGCCTGAATATTTCACTTCGTGGATCTTTCATAGGTCGTGACCGACACTATTTAAGTCGAATTTCAATATAAAATACTGTGCCCAGGCAACTAGAAACTATTGTCTAGGACTGTTTTGAAACCACAGTCCATGCTGTATGTAGATCATGTAGAGTTACAAACTCTCGTGCCATTAATGACATGGCAGGAGGTAAATCCACAGGGCCATGCCACTTCAGTTACACACACATAACCATCAAGAATTCTTAAGTTTTCTATTAAAAAAAAATAAAGACTAGCTCTTCTCTGAAAGGATTCCGTAAATATCGGCTTCCTGGAGTTTTACAATAGTGGCTTTACAATTGTCTTGTGGCATGGGGGCAGCCTTGTCTGTAAAGCGAGAGTCCAATTTAGTGGAATTTCAGACTTTGGAAAATTAATTTTCTGTACTTAGTCCATATATAATAAAATGCTTATTGCACTCTTTTCCCAAGAATAATCTGTACTTTTCTAAGGGAATGAGACTCTAAATGGAGGGACCAAGTCGGTTTGATAGCAACCCAGACTTAAGCCAGAGACTGATGTAGTGAGCCTTGTCACTACGTGTGACCATCAGAGAGGTGCTTGCCCGTTACTAACTTGAAGTGAGAGGGGTCTGGTGAGGGGTCTGTGAGTGATGCTGGGCTGAAAGGTATGATTGTCATGTGATGAAAAACCATATGAAGAAACAAAGCCACACACACACACACACACACACACACACACACTCTGTTTTCTGATCCGTTCTAAGGTGCAGGTATAGACAATTTGAAAGCACTCCAACATGACCTAAGCACTGTTTTTGTTATAAAGCTAGAAAATCTAAGTTAGCTTAAGACACACCATAAGCCCAACCTTTAAACCCAGAGAGGAATGGAAGATCCAGAGTAAGAATTCCGTGTGAAGGAGAAAAGTCTCCATTTCTACCATTGTTTCCTATACTCGTAAGGTCTGAGTTATCAAACGTCAAATTCATACACATTTGGGAAGACTTTCAATTACCCTGACCTCTTTAATCAGGAATATTTAGATTTTGGATCTGGCTATCACTGTAGGCCTCTGTAAGAGTTTTCCCAGACATGTTCTACAGGTAGAAAAAAAAGGGCTTACACATGAAATGATGTCCATGTGTTTCTTTTCCTTTTAGGCTTTGAAAATTAATTTTAAAAATTGTACAGTATTTGTAAGAAATTATTTTCTGATAGGTAACTTAGCCAGATAGATACCTTTGTACTTGATCCCCTGTGATACGTGATCAAACTGGAGGGTCATTCGGCCAAAAAATCCACTTTAAGCTAAGACATTTGCAATGTTTTACTTTGAGATTATTTTTTCTAATCCCCCAAATCTTTAAAAGGCAGTAGTTTTGTCAGGAAGAATCAATGTTATCTATGATTTACTTGGAACTTAACATTTGGAGGAATGGTGTTTGGGTGCAGAGCTGGGTGGCTTTCCTGTTTTGCCTAACACAGCACTGAAAGAAAGGGTGCGTGAGCCAGGCCCCCGACACCTGCAGTCCCTGTACATCAGACTGTGCCGATGCCCGCTCAGATTTGCACTGTAACAGGGCTGGCCTTTCAGAAAGAAAACACAAATAACAGGTTAGAATAAAACTGGTTCCAAAGTATGGGCGCTGTCCTATTTCTTTATGGATTTCTATTGAAAGTATTCTTGACAAAGGAGAAATATATATATTACTAAAGAATTCACTTGTCTGGCAGTATTGTCACACATCTCCAAAATTTGGTAGTATAGCTATCTACCTGTTTGCAACATTAAAGAGCTTTCGTGGCCCAGTGAGTTAAAGCATCGAGCTGTCAAGTAAAAGGTTAGCGGTTCAAAGCCACCGGCTGCTCCAGGGGAGAAAAAGTATGTCAGTCTGCTTTGTAAAATATTTACAGCCTTGGGAATCCTATTGAGCAGTTCTGTCTTGTCTAGTGGGGTTGCTGTGAATCACAGATGCTTCATGGTAGTGGGTTTAGGTTATTTGCAGTATAGGTGAATGTGTACACACTGTACGGTCCCGTCTAATAGGTGATGTCACTAATTACCTCTAGTTTCTTGTTTCGTTTCATCTTATCTGTGACTTTCTTGCCATGGTGCCATTAGCCCCATGAACTGCAGTGTCCGCCCATGAGCATATCACCATGTCAAAGCTCTGTAAAAGAGGTCTCATACATACTGTGTTGCATTAGAAAGGGCTTTAAAAGAACCAAAACAACTCACTGCCATTGTCAATTCCAACTCATAGTGACCTACAGCACAGAGTAGAACTGTCCCTTTGGGCTTCCAGTGTAGTCACTTTACAGGAGCAGAGAGCCTCAGCTGTCTTGAGGAGTGACTAGTAGTTTTGAACTGCTGACTAGTTAGCAGCCCAGTGATTAGCCCCTTAGGCCACTAGAGCTCCTAGGAAGGTCTTACTTAAGACCTGAAAAAAATTTTTTTTCCCAAGGTTTTTTTTTGCAGAAATCCCAAGATATGTTCTATTTTTCCAACATAGTTTCCATACCCTAAACCTGGAATTTCTTTTTTTTTTTTTTCTTGTAGAAAGTTTCTCATGGTGGGAAATTAAGCAGGAAATGGGGACTTTTATGGCTAATCAAAGAGCCATTTCTCTTTCCCAGCTACACCTAGTGATGCAGAGCCCCTCTTAGGGACCTGGGCAATGTTGTGTAACTCGGGGACTTTCATCTGTACCCTCCCCTCCCAAGGCGATCCCTCTTTCTCACCCCCTGCCCTTGTGCTTTTCCCCCCTGCTATTAATACTATATGTGATATGTCAGTATTAAAATGTCATACAAGAGTATTAACATTTGAAGTCTTAATTATAACTGTGGGAAGATGTCCTCATTTTTTGTTGTTGAAAAGGAGAATTTCATGAATCACTGAACAGGCAGATAATACGTATTGGGATAGAAACCATTTTAGATGTGGCTGAAATCATGTCAGTTAAGGACTGGCCCCTACAAAGTCATGCACCATCGAAAATGAGAATCCGAAAGGGGCCTGGGCATTGGTAAAGTGTTACATAGGAAAGCCAATCATAGGTCAAGAATTTTGCCCAAAGCCCTCCAGCTTTATAACACGAGTTTATCTAGGTGTCTAAACAGACTTGCAGTGGCATAGAGTGTGTGAGATGTTCTAGATAGTGAGAAATATGCTCTAAAATACAGACAGAAGGGGAAAAACGCCGTAACTCACTCGGTGACATGGCTTGATGCTTTAAAAGGGGAATGTTATTTTACTTTTGTGTAAATCCAGCACTACTGTTGATTGTTCTTTCATGTTACGTTTCCATTCTATTGTTTATTTAAGCATGTTGTAGCATGGGCAATCAAATTGATTTCCAACCGGTAAGACTGAACATTAACCTAAAGAATGATATAATCAGGATGAAGCAATTACGGTGCTTCATTGTAACAATTGCCAATATTACTGTTCTTCGTGGGTGCGCTCTGGAATCAACTGGTTTTGAATGTTGGAAACAGGCATTGGATTTGATTCCTCTTAAAGGAATGATTTTATTTGAAATGATTTGGCGTTGCTGAAGGCGCTGAGTTGTTGATCAGGTGTGTGGCTCTGTATCCTTCTTATGTCTCAGATTTTGGAATCGGCATATTCTGAACTCTTAGAATAATTTGTCAAGTGCAGTGTGTAAGTGAACTGCTGCTTGTATATGGCTATAAAAATTGGGTATTTTAAAAGTGTTTTGTTCCACTTGTCACATATATCATTTTACCCTCTGCAGTTTACTTGAAGCATGTTTTACTAATGTGGTTCAAAAGATCTCCTACCCCATATAAATCTTACTTCATGTAGTTTATATCCCCTTATGAGTTTCAAATTCCCAACATAAATGAAAAAAGTCATGTCTTTAAAATCATAATTCAAAACATCTTATTTAGACACAAGTTCTTACTTTACTAATAGCACACTACATTATTAGAAATTTAATTTATTTCCCTCTAATTTTACAAATCTTTATTTTAGATTATTATTTATATTTTTATTAAAATGGTAAAGAATAATATACCAAACGCTTATCAATGTAATCATGTAAGCATTTTTAATAGACTTATTTTATCTTAGGAAGATTTTCTTTTCAGTTTTAA